CACGGCCCAGGGTGGGGCCGGCCGAGCGGGCAGTGGATGGGGGCACAGAGCAGGGCGGGCGCGGTCCGAGGGCTGGGTGTTCCTGTCCCCAGACCCACCAGGAGGCCCTGAAGATGGCGTGGCAGAACTTTCTGAACCTGTGCATTTGCCAGGAGAGCCAGCTGCAGCATGTGGAGACGTATCGCCAGGTGAGCCGGTGTGCGGGGCTGGGTGGGGGCCGGAGGAGACAGGGGCGGGCGGCCACCGGGGCCCTGGGCGCAGAACGCCACAGGACACGCTCACACGGAGGGAGACAAGGCACCTCATAAAAACGGCAGAGCTGTGTCCTCGTGACTGGGTCCCAGAGGGAAAACAAGGTCATGCAAACATTCACAACAGGGCGAGGTGGCTCTTGGGGGCCGGGGGGTGGGGAAGGGGTTGGTTCTCAAAGGCAAACTAAATAAATTAGTTAAAATCTTACTCTTCTGCATAAATCACAAGTGATGTTTCATATACTTTGAGAGGGACTTTTTAAAAATGTTTTCCTACTGGGGCGCCTGGGTGGCGCAGTCGGTTAAGCGTCCGACTTCAGCCAGGTCACGATCTCGCGGTCCGTGAGTTTGAGCCCCGCGTCGGGCTCTGGGCTGATGGCTCAGAGCCTGGAGCCTGTTTCCGATTCTGTCTCCCTCTCTCTCTGCCCCTCCCCCGTTCATGCTCTGTCTCTCTCTGTCCCAAAAATAAATAAAACGTTGAAAAAAAAAATTAAAAAAAAAAAAAGAAAAATGTTTTCCTACATAACTGCCATACCATTATCACACGGACAAGAATTCCACAATATCACCCAACCGCAGGATGTTTCTTTTTTTTTTTTTTTTAAGTTTACTTATTTTGAGAGAGAGAGCAAGCATGCATGAGTGGGAGGGGGGCAGAGAGAGAGAGAGAGAAAGAGAGAATCCCAAGCAGGCTCCGTGATGTGAGTGCAGAGCCCGAAGCGGGGCTCGCTCCCACGAACCGTGAGATCATGACCTGAGCCGAAGTCAAGAGTCGGATGCTTAGTCGACAGAGGCACCCAGGTGCCCCCAGGTGCCCCCAGGAATTTGTAAAGCACACTCCTAGCTTCCACTTGGGGGCACCCACCCCAGGTTCCAGCCAGGACGACAGCAGGTACTGGAGTAAGCAGGAGAGCCCCACTCCATCTGGACAGGAAGCACAGAAGCCACGGTGTTTCATAACCCTGAAACAAGCCCAGTGAGCCAGAAACGCCCATTTGCAGAACACTCCGGTTAAAAAAGCCGCACGGCCTGGGTAGAAAGGCCGACGGTGCAGGGGCCAGTGCAGGGTTGGTGGGCAGAGCTCTCCCCCTGACTACCCACGACCTCAGTTCCAGGAAGAGGCCGACTCCGTCAGCCAAACCCTGGCAAAGCTGAACTCCAGCCTGGACACCCAGTACAGCCCTGCCCCTGGGGGGCCCCCTGGCGCCCCCACAGAGCTGCTACAACAGCTGGAGGTGAGCGAGCCCCACCAGACCACCTGCACCCCGCTCCAGGGGATGGGGCTGGCCCTTGCGTCTAGGTCTCACCCTTCTCCGGGGACTTATTCCCGTCCTGAGCCCACCCTGGGTGGGGAGGAGAAAGGGGTCTGCTCTAGTAGGAAGGGGCTGTTCTGTTACCAGCAAGCCCTTTCCACCTCTGGGCCTCAGTTTCCTCACCTGCAATGCGACAGAGACTGCCTGGGAGAGATCTGTGCGCCCCCCCCCCCCCCGCTCACCCCAGCCCCTACTCTAGAGGCCTGGGTGATGCTGAGCAGCCCCCCACCCCGCCCCGCCCCACCCCACCCCAACCAGCAGACCCCAGGATCCTGGGCCCCTTGGAGGGCCTTCTTTTACTTTCCTGACTTAGAGACCCTGTCTTCATGAAGGCCCCTTGGCTCTCATGGTGGGGGTGGGCAGTACGGGGCAGGCCTCAAGTGCAGCCTGGGACCCCACAGGCAGAGAAGAAGCAGCTGGCTGTCGCTGAGAAGACCGTTGGGGACCTGCAGCGGCGGAGCCATCAGGTGGCCCCTCTGCAGCAGCGCAGGAACCCCCCCCAGCAGCCTCTGCACGTGGACAGCATCTGCGACTGGGACTCAGAAGAAGTACAGGCTCTGCCTGCCCAGCCGCAGCCCTGCCTCCTCCAGTCCCACCATTGCCTCCGCTCCCACCCATCCCCACCCTGCCTCAGCCCTCTGTCCTCCAAGCCCTGCCCTGCCTCTGGCCTGTCCCTGCCCCTACCCCAGCTCGTGTACCCAGCCCCGACTCCATCTTGGCCTCAGTTCCCCCTGCCCCTGAGCCAACACGAGCCCCGCCTGCCCTGTCCCCCAGGTGCAGCTGCTGCGGGGTGAGCGGTATGTGTTGATGGACAACACCGACCAGCACACCTGGGTCGTGCAAGGCCCAGGTGGGGAGACCAAACGTGCCCCAGCCGCCTGCTTCTGCATCCCGGCTCCGGACCCTGAAGCCGTGGCCAGGGCCTCCAAGTGGGTCCGCCTGGGGATACTCGGGGGCAGGAGGCAGGCTGTGGGCCCAGACCAGGTCCTGTGGTGTTTGCCCTTCACCTGGAGCAGTGACTCCTGGGGCGGAGTTGGGGGGGGGGGGGCGTTCAGAGAGAGAGGAGAGACGTCCCTCTCTGATCTCCCCCTTGTTCTAGGCTGGCCTCGGAGCTGCAGGCCCTGAAGCAGAAATTGGCCACAGTCCAGAACCACCTGACAGCCAGCACTACACAGCCCTTACAGACTGGCCAGCAGGGTACTGAGGGCTGGCCAGAGACTTGGGGATTGTTGGGAGAGAAGGAGTAGATTCCTACTTTGGTCGCTGTCGGGGGAGTTGTGATGGGAAGGGGGGGACCCTGGATTAGGGACTTCTGCTGGGGGGTTCCATCTCTTGGGTTGGCAATCCCCGAGGGAGCATGATCCTTCCCCCAGTTAGGCCCTACCCACCTGCCTCCCTCCCTTCCCCACACAGGATGCTATGGGGGCACCAGGGAAGAGCTCCTCAGGCAGATGGGCAGAGGGCAGGTAGGCCCTGGACCCTTACAGGAACTCTATGTCCCCAGCTCCCGCTGGCTCAGCCCCAGAAGACCCACAGGCCCAGAAGCTCCTGACACAGATGACCCGACTGGATGGAGACCTAGGGCAAATAGAGAGGCAGGTGCTGGCCTGGGCCCGGGCCCCACTGAGCCGCACGGCACCACTGGAGGACCTGGAGGGCCGCATCCAAAGCCACAAGGTGGGTGGATGAGCGAGGACAACAGGGATAAGAACAACCCCTCCCCTGGGGGCGAACTAAAGGTGAGGCGAGTGTGCGCGCAGCCGCAGGGACCCAAGGCAGAGGCAGGGAGCGGACAGTCCAGGGTTCAAGACAAGCTGACTCCCACTGTGGCTCCTCCGCTGACCAGCTTTGTGATCTTGGCAAATCACTTAACCTCTCTGGGCTCTGATTTCCTCGCCACTGAAAACAGACACAGTGATACCCATGCATCTGGTTGTCCTAGGGATGACGTCAGGCCCAAGGAAGGTTCTAGAAGGGCAGGGCCCAGGGTAAAGGCCCTGGACCCTGCACCTGGGAGGTGTTCCAGCGAGGGTCCCAAGAGCAGCAAGGAAGCCTGGGCTTCCTCCTGGAGGCAGGTGGGAGAGCCTCCCCAGGAGAGGTTGCAGTGTGTAAACTCCATCACAAAAGGACAGTCCTCTGAGCGCTAACAGTAAAAGCAGCCCCTCCCCATGGGGCAGGGAGGAAGGGGGTGGCGGTTTGAGTTATGTCCTTGCTGACCAGTTTCTGTTCAATACAGTGCTGGGGTTTGGTTTCTAAATTTTTGAATTTCATTGGCCCATGTCCCCATGCAAACAGCTGGTCTCCACTCTACCTTGTACCGGAGGTGTGAGATGCTCAGAGGGCCGGTGGGGACAGGAGGGCTCCAGGGCTGGGACAGGATGCGCGGGAGGTGTTGAAGACTGGGTCTTGACTCTGAGGGGACGTCATGGGGGGACGGCGGAGCGGGCAGGGGGCAGAATGCAGCCTCAACACAGATCCCCCCGCCGCCTGAGGCTCTGGGGCTGACAGGGGGCCGGGCCTTTACACCTGAGTCACCAGTTATGACTGCATGGGGACATGGCAGCCCCCAACTTGGTCCTCAAGTCCTGAAGCAACCACGTCTCCCACGTTAGGGGTGCTGGGGGCCCTAGGAAGCACACTTAGGCCGAAGGTAGACAGTGAGTGGCTGAGGAGGAACAGAATAACCCATGTGGACAGAGCTAGGGCTTTGCCGCCTGACCTGGGCGACCGAGCAGGGAACCGTTTTGTGAATGGCGCAGTGACACCCACAGGGTCGTGCTGCCTCCTCCCATCAGTCTTTCTGCAGATGAAGACACTGGGGCTCAGGGAGGTTGACAGGCCCAAGGTCATCCACAGGGGGATTCTGGGGGCCAGGACTGATCCCTGATCTCTGGCCTCAGCCCAGGCTCCTACCCACCATGCTCTGAGGCCTTGTGGGCAGGGTTGGGTGGGCCCTTCTGGAAGGAGATCTCTGACCCTGTCCCGCCCCGCCCCGCCCCGCCCCGCCCCGCCCCGCCCCAGGGCACAGCCCAGCGGCTGCAGAGCCTGGGAGCAGAGAAGGAGGCAGCCCAGCAGGAGTGTGAAGCATTTCTGTCTGGCCAGCCCGTGGGCCCCGTGGCCCTGCACCTGCCTGTGGTCCTCAACAGCGTCAAGAACAAGTACAGTGATGTTCAGGTTCTCTGCAACCTCTACGGGGAGAAGTGAGTGCTCCGGGGACTGGGAAGGGGGACCGCTGGGTGGTGCCATTGGGGTGCGTGTGGCCCTGGGAGCTCCTGACATGGGGCCCCCTTGACACAGAGCCAGAGCTGCCCTGGGTCTGGAGCGGCAGATCCAGGACACGGAGAGGGTCATCCGAGGCTTGGAATCTTCTGTGGCACAGGAGGCCCCTCTCCCTGCCAGCCCAGGCGTGCTGCAGGAGAGGGTCAGCGAGCTGCAGGTGAGGGGCCGGGTGGCCTTGCTGAGCATTTGCGGGCGGTGGGGGGGTGGGCGTGGTGACGCATGGAGCCACGAGGGTGCATGGCGCCATGTCCCCTCCTCCCCAGCGCCTGCGGAGGGAGCTGCTGGAACAGCAGGCCTGCGTGCTGGGGCTGCACCGCGAGCTGAAGGCCACCGAGCATGCGTGCAGCACCCTGCAGAACAGCTTCCGCGAGTTCTGCCAAGATCTGCCTCACCAGCAGCGCCAGGCGAGGGCCCTCACCGACCGCTACCACGCTGTGGGGGACCAGCTGGACCTGCGGTGAGTGGCTGGGTTGTTAAGGCTCTAGGCACGCCCCCCTCCCAGTGCACAGCAGTGGCTGCTGCCACCTAGCTGTGTGACCTTGGACTGGTGACTTCACCTCTCTGAGGCTGGGTTTCCTCAACTCTAAAACGGGATAATAACCAGCTTTGCACAGCGGCAGTATCGTAGCTAATGAGGTTTATCCGAGGCGCGATTATTGCTAATTAAAATAGGATAATAACAGCACCCGTCTCCCAGGGCGAGCCTGCCTACCGCCCTGGCAGAGACTGTCTGGGCCTTCCCTGAATGCCCAGCTCCAGCATAGGCCCAGAATAGGGCCTTCTGACCTGTCCCAGGGAGAAAGGCACCCACCAGTCTCCTCTGTGCACCCCTCACCTGTCCCCAGAGGGTAGCTGTCACCTCTGCTCCGGGCCTCCTCCTCCTGCAGGGAGAAGATGTTGCAGGACGCCAGCCTCACCTACCAGCAGTTCAAGAACTGCAGGGACAACCTGAGCTTCTGGCTGGAGCACCTGCCCCACAACCAGGTGCGGCCCAGCGATGGGCCCAGCCAGGTGGCCTACAAGCTGCAGGCACAGAAGGTGAGGAGCTGGGACCGCAGGCCACCTCCAGCCTCTCTGGGGGCCCTCCCCACGGGGAGAGCCGCCCGCGTGCGTGTGGCCCCCTAGTGGCCAGCGTTCTAAGAGACCTCAGAGCTCAGGCCCCTGCTGGGGTCACCCCCACCCTAAACACTCGCTCCGCCTGGCCCACAGAAACGGCAAGCCCAGCGCCATCTGGTATGAGGTGGTCAGTGAGCTTTACGCTCCTGGGGGTTCCAGCTCCCCCCTCATCCTCTTCCTCCTACTTGCCAGTCCCCTGCTACGCACTGGCAGTGAACCAGAGGCGACGGGCACAGCCAGTCTGGTGGGGGAGGCCAGTGCCTTGCAGACCACCTTGCTGGCGAGGGCTCTGGTGGAGAGCCAGAGCCCCGTGGGAGCCCCTGGCAGGACACGGGGGGGGTCAAGGGCAAGTGGTCTGGAAGACAAGGGCCTGGGGCTGCAGGAGGAATGACGGTGTCTAGGGAGAAAGCAAAGGGGTATAAGGTCGGGCAGGTGGCTTGGGACAGAGATTCTTAGACCTGGCTGGAGATTAGAATCACCCAGGGGGCTTTTAAAACATCCCTGTCCCAGAACCCCACTCCAGACTGATTAAATTGGAATCGCCGGGACCAGAACGTCGGTACTTTTTTTTTTGTTGTTTTAAGTTTATTTATTTATTTTGAGGGAGAGAGAGAGCCTGCGTGTGTGCATGGAAGTAAGAACAGAGAGAGTGAATCTCAAGCAGACAGCGCGTGAGCCAGACTCGGGGCTCGATCTCACGAACCGTGAGATCATGCATGACCTGAGCCGAAATCAGGAGTCAGACGATTAACTGGCCGAGCCACCCGGGTGCCCCACATCAGCACTTTTTAGAAAGTTCCCCAAGTGAAGAAAAGGGGCGGCCAAGGTTAGGAACGATTCAGATGGAGCAGTGGTCCTCAGGTCCCTGGACCTGGAGCACCAGCATCATGGAGACAGTTAGGCGTGCAAGTTCTCAGGCCCCAGCCCAGCTCTGCTCAGTCATGGCCTCTGGAGGGGGACCTTCAATCTCTGTTTCAACAAGCTCTCTAGGTGGGTCACAGGGTGAAGGCCCCTGGGCTAGAACGTGACTCTGAGGGGCACTGGGCAGAAGGAAGGGACTCTCCCAAAAAGAGGAAGGAAGAATTCCCGGAAAGGGCAGTTGCCCAGGCGAACTCCTGCCCCTGAGGCCCCTGGAGCGTGCTGGCTGCCTGAGGCCCCGGAGGAGGGCCTGGCTGAATGGTGTTTGCCGACCCCCCTCGACTCCCGCTTTCTCCCTGGCAGAGGCTACAGCAGGAGATCCAGGGCCGAGAGCAGGACAGGGCCATGGCGTCCCGCCTCTCCCAGGACCTGCAGGCAGCCCTCCAGGTAAGCACTTCACTTCTCTCCCCCCCCCTGCCAGTCCTCTGCTCTCCCATCCCCTGTCTCCCCCACTGACCATCGGCCTATTGTCCTTCCCTCCCTGTTCAGGACTACGCGTTGCAGGCAGATACCTACCGCTGCTCCCTGGAGACCACTCAGGCAGGGTCAGCCCCCAAGAGACCCCGAGTAGCTCCCCTGCAGGAGAGCATCCGGACCCAGGTGCGATGGGACCCGGCGAGGCTCAGTGTCCCTCGGCGCCAGCCCTGCCAGCTCTACAGCTGGAGCTGACCCTGTCCCCCCTCTCCCTCCCTGCTTCCCGTCTCTAGGAGAAGAACTTGACAAAGGCCTACACGGAGGTGGCAGCTGCATGCCAGCAGCAGCTGCGCCAGCTGGAGTTTGCCAGAAGGATGCTGGAGAAGGTACGGGGACAGCGCCCACTCCGTCCCTGTGCGAGGCAGCCTGGGCTGGTCACGGACATGGCAGGCTCGGCGGCCTGAGGGGTACAGCTCTCTACCTTCCCCGGTTCTCTCCCCAGTGGCTCTTCCAGGCTGGTAACCGTCTCAGAGTCAGGCCCTGGAGATGTCATTCAGTGCAGTCACAGCTTAGCCACTGGGCAGTCTGCCAGGGGGGACAGGAGAAAATCCCCACGAAGTCTTTAGCTCAGGACCAGCCGCAAGAGGCAAGAGGCCACCTAAGTCTCCATCCCTGGGAGACAGAAGCCTTCCATGGCTCTTGGTGTCTGGCTGAGGAACTTGCCATCTTTCTCCTACACCGACACCCCCAGAGGAGCACGGGCCCATACCCGGGAGCCTGGCTGGAAGGGGAGGGGCAGAGGCTTGGAAAGGAGACCCTGTCCTGTTTGCACATTCTGGTGCAAATTCCTCCCGAACACTGCCTTGCATCGTGGGGCTGAGGGGTCCTCTCAAAATCCTGCGTCCGACGACTGCGACTCCTGCTCCCGGAACCTACCAGAAGCCTCAGGAAGCAGGGAGGGGTCTCTGATCTCAGCGTGCAGTGGGGGTGATAGAAATGGGGCTCATCCCTCCCCCCCGCCAGCCCACCTCCCCTCCAGGACTCTTTCCCTCCTCCTCTCCCTCTGCAGAAGGAGCTCAGTGAGGATATCCAGGTGACCCATGATGCACGGCAGGGGTCTGAGGGCCCAGCCCGAGCAGGGAAGGATTCCGAGGCCCTGAAGTCCCAGCTGGAGGAGGAGAGGAAGCGGGTAGCTCAGGTGCAGCACGAGCTGGAGGAACAGAGGAACCGGCTGCTGCAGCTGAGGACCCGGCGGCCCTCGGAGAGGCTGGAAGAGAAGGAAGTGGTGGAGTTCTACCGGGACCCCCAGCTGGAGAGCGACCTGTCCAGGGTGAAGTCCCAGGTGGAGGATGAGGGCAAGAAGCGGGCCAGCCTGCAGGCGGACCTGGAGGCAGTGGCCCAGCAGGTGGTCCAGCTGGAGAGCAAGAGGAGGGCCATGCAGCCCCACCTGCTGACCAAGGAGGTCACCCAGATCGAGAGGGACCCTGACCTGGACAGCCAGGCAGCCCAGCTCGGCCGCGAGATCCAGCACCTGCGGGGACAGAACGCCACCGTCTCGGTCCGGCTGGAGGAGCTCAAGACGGAGCTGCTGGCCCTGGAGAAGAAGGAGCCGAATGTGAAGGAGAAGGTTGTGGTGAAAGAGGTGGTCAAGGTGGAGAAGGACCTGGAGATGCTCAAGGCGGCCCAGGCCCTGAGGCTGCAGCTGGAAGAGGACACCGTGCGGAGGAAGGGCGCCGAGGAGGCCGTGGCCAAGCTGCGGGCTCGTCTCGAAGAGCTGGAGCGGGCAATCGGCGCCGTGGAGCCCAAGGTGATCGTGAAGGAGGTGAAGAAGGTGGAGCGGGACCCGGGCCTTCTCGAAGAGGCGGCGAGGCTGAGGAGCCTCCTCGAGGAGACCCGGAGCGAGAACGCGACCCTGGCGCGGGAGCTGGAGGAGCTGCGGGGAAGGCACGGCGCGGCGGAGAAGCAGAAGCCCAAAGTGGAGCTCCAGGAGCGCGTCCACGAGACCTTCCAGGTGGCTCCGGAGACGCAGCAGGAGATGGCGAGGCTCAGGGCCCAGCTGCAGGAGACCGCTGGCAAGAGGAGCCGCGTGGAGCAGGAGGTGGCGGCGCTGCTGCCCGACCTGGCGGCCCTGCGCGCCCAGAAGCCCGCGGTGGAGTACAAGGAGGTGACGCAGGAGGTGGTGAAACACGAGAGGAGCCCCGAGGTGCTGCGGGAAATCGACCACCTGAAGGCGCAGCTCAACGAGCTGGTCAACGGCAGCGGGCGGGCCCAGGAGCAGCTCATCCGCCTGCGGGGGGAGCGCGACGAGTGGAAGCGGGAGCGCTCCAAGGTGGAGACCAAGACGGTGAACAAGGAGGTGGTGCGCCACGAGAAGGACCCCGTCCTGGAGAAGGAGGCCGAGCGGCTGCGCCAGGAGGTGCGAGAAGCCGCGCAGAAGAGGCGGGCGGCCGAGGATGCGGTCTCCGAGCTGCAGAGTAAGTACCTGCTGCTGGAGAGGAGGCGGCCCGAGGAGAAGGTGGTGGTGCAGGAGGTGGTGGTCACCCGGAAGGACCCGAAGCTCCGCGAGGACCACAGCCGGCTGAGCCGGAGCCTGGACGAGGAGGCGGGCCGGCGGCGGCAGCTGGAGCGGGAAGTCCAGCAGCTGCAGGCTGGCGTGCAGGAGAAGGAGGGCCTGCTCGGCTTCCAGGAGGACCGGGGCAAGAAGCTGGCCGCGGAGAGGGAGCTGCGGCGGCTGACCCTGAAGATCCGGGAGCTCGAGGAGCGGCCTCCTGTGCCGCAAGAGAAGATCATCACGGAGGAGGTGGTCAAGCTGGAGAAGGACCCGGACCTGGAGAAGTCCACAGAAGCCCTGCGGCAGGACCTGGACCAGGAGAAAGCCCGGGTGACGGGGCTGCATCGGGAGTGCAAGAACCTGAGGGTCCAGATCGACGTCCTCCAGACAACCAAAGCGCAAGAGAAGACCATCTACAAGGAGGTGATCCGGGTGGAGAAGGACCGGGTGCTGGAGGGTGAGCGGTCCCGGGCGTGGGAGGCGCTCAACAGGGAGCGTTCGGCCCGGCAGAGCCGGGAGGAGGAGGTGCGGCACCTGCGGGAGCGCATCGACAAGGCCGAGGCGCTGAGGAAGACGCGGGCCCGGGAGGAGGCCGAGCTGCAGAAGGGCCGGGACCAGGCGGCCCAGGAGCGAAGGCAGCTGCAGCAGGAGCTGCGGGAGCTGGAGAAGCAGAAGCAGCAGACGGTGCTGCATCTGCAGGAGGAGGCGCAGCTGCTCAGCCGGAGGACGGAGAGCGAGCGGCAGAAGGCCGCCCAGCGGGGCCAGGAGCTCTCGCAGCTCGAGGCGGCCATCCTCCGCGAGAAGGACCAGATCCACGAGAAGGAGAGGACCCTCCGGGACCTCCACGCCAAGGTGAGCAGGGAGGAGCTCAACCAGGAGACCCAGACGCGAGAGACCAACCTTTCCACCAAGATCTCCATCTTGGAACCGGAGACGGGGAAGGACATGTCCCCATACGAGGCCTACAAGAAGGGCATCATCGATCGAGGCCAGTACCTTCAGCTACAGGAGCTCGAGTGTGACTGGGAGGAGGTCACCACCTCGGGCCCCTGTGGGGAGGAGTCCGTGCTCCTGGACCGCAAGAGCGGGAAGCAGTACTCCATCGAGGCCGCCCTGCGCTGTCGGCGCATCTCCAAGGAAGAGTACCATCTCTACAAGGACGGCCGCCTCCCCATCTCCGAGTTCGCTCTGCTCGTGGCGGGGGAGACCAAGCCCTGCTCCTCACTCTCCATCGGCTCCATCATCTCCAGGTCCCCCCTGGCCTCCCCAGCGCCCCAGGGCCCCGGTTTCTTCTCTCCCAGCCTCTCTCTCGGACTCGGCGATGACAGCTTCCCCATCGCCGGCATCTACGACACAACCACAGACAACAAATGCACCATCAAGACGGCAGTGGCCAAGAACATGCTGGACCCCATCACCGGGCAGAAGCTGCTGGAGGCCCAGGCGGCCACGGGGGGCATCATAGACCTCCTCAGCCGGGAGCGCTACTCCGTGCACAAGGCTATGGAGAGGGGGCTGATCGAGAACACCTCCACGCAGAGGCTGCTCAACGCCCAGAAGGCCTTCACGGGCATCGAGGATCCCGTCACCAAGAAGAGGCTGTCGGTGGGCGAGGCCGTCCAGAAGGGCTGGATGCCCCGGGAGAGCGTGCTCCCACACCTGCAGGTGCAGCACCTGACTGGGGGGCTCATCGACCCCAAGAGGACCGGCCGCATCCCGGTCCCGCAGGCGGTGCTCTCTGGAATGATCAGCGAGGAGCTGGCCCAGCTTCTGCAGGATGAGTCCGGCTATGAGAAGGATTTGACAGACCCCATTTCCAAGGAGCGGATGAGCTATAAGGAGGCCATGGGGCGCTGCCGGAGAGACCCCCTGAGCGGCCTGCTGCTGCTCCCAGCTGCCCTGGAGGGGTACCGCTGCTACCGTGCCGCCTCCCCCTCAGTACTGCGCTCCCTGCCCCTGCGCTGAGGGGGCCAGGCGGTCCCGGGGAGCGGGTGTGAGGGGGAGGGTGGGACACGTGCACTCCTCGCCCCGGGGAACAGCCTCATCCAAGCGGGTGGGTCCTTCCTCTGATACCTGTGCTATTACTCGGAAGTTTGCGGTGTGGGACCCCTCCCCCAACTTTGGCTGCCCAGCCCATCCCCAGACCCAGCCATCGGCACGTCTGTCTCTCCTCCCTCCTCCCTGCCCCGGTGCTTCCAATAAATGAGTTCTCCCCGCGTCTAGTTCACATTTGGGAATGCAGGATGGATTTGTCTGAGCCATAAGCACAAGGGAGCGTTGCTGGGGTCCTTCCCAGGTGGGAAGCAGACCCATCCACCCAGCCTGGCCAAGGGAATGGATGCTTCCAAGGGCTTTGGCTCCCTTGACTCTGGGAGGGGTGCACCGGCAGGCCCCGGAGAGACCCTGAACAGCCCCTCCCGTCCCCACTGCCTCTGCTCCTGGACTTTGACTTCTGGCCAGGAACAGTCTCCAGCGTTCTGTCAACCTCCCCCTTGTCAGCAAGTCCTTGGTACACGCCCTTCCCCCCCCCCCCGCCCCCAAGAAAAACACTGGAAAACTCAGGAAATATAGCACTTTTATTTACTGTTCTTAAAGCCAGAGGCAAACAACATAAGCATATCCTAAGTATAAGACAAGTACTTAGAACAGCCACACACATCCCAGACGTTCCCTGGGATCAGGAAAATGTCCTCTCTCTTCCCGTTAAACTGGGACTCTTAACTGGTATGCAACTCTTCCCCCAAACATTTTAAAGCCAAAAAGACCGGCAGGGGGCACCCCTTCCCTTGGGGGGGGGGGGGGGCGTTGTCTGGCTCTGCCTCGCCGCCACACGGGGGCAGGCTTCCTTCTCATCTCAGCAGCTGTTCCTGCGGCAGGGGGCCCAACCTCTAACATACCCCCTGCACACAGAGCTCCGGTGCCCCCGTCTTGAACCAATACTGTCAAACCCAACAAACAACACTGGAACTCGTTAACCTGCGGGCAGGACTAACCCAAACTCCGCTCTCTGGCGGCCGATGCCAAATTCCTCAGAACTTTGCTCTCTCCCAGATAGGTCCTCTTTCTTGGGACATGGGTGGGGAGGCAGCTGGGGCAGCAGCGGAGAGAGGCTCCGAGGCGGAGGACCTCACACCCTCTCAGCGGCAGAAACGCTCCACCACACACTGCGGGGGGGCCGGGGAGGTCTCAGCGGACAAGAAGTACGGATGTGCGAGGGCGGCCTTGGCAGAGATCCGCTGGCTGGGGTCGTACTGCAGGAGTTGCTGTGGAGGAAGGAGGAGAAAAGAGATTGAGCACTGGGCTGGGCCGGGCCCCTGAGAGGAGTTACCCTCGGGCCCGAGGGGGCGGGCCCCAAACCCAGGAGCAGCTGCCTTCAAGCCAGACCCGCAGGCAACTACCATCTCCCAGCTCGCAAGCCAGTTCTGGATGCTCTCGGAATGTGGGGACAAAGAATGAGTTCCAGTCGGCCCTGGGAGACCTTCCCCGCCTCCTGCGGACTAGAGGCTGAGACCATCTGTCTTCTCCCTGCCTGAGGTTCCCAGGCCTCAGCCCGTGTCTGGTTGAGACAGACTTCTACGTATGGAGAAGGCGAGGGCCCAAGCTGTCCAGGGCGCATGCTTGAGGGCGGGGCAGGAAGTAGGAGTCCCTGAGCCCGGCTAGGCTGCGGACAGACCCCTTGCCTAGGAGTAATCCCGATGGAATGCTAAGCGACTTGGCTGGAGGTCTATGCCGTCCTGCTGGCACTGGGTTGGTAGACAGACCTACGCAGGCCTCTGGAAAGATGAAAATACGGCCCTGCCTTCCTCTGGCCTAACGACCAGATTAAAGAGACAAACGTGGCCCCAAATCTTTGTGGGCAAGAAGAGGTGGTTCTACCTGGGGCCTCCCGAGCAGCCTGGCCTGGGCCCAGCCCAGTGGGTCAAGATGGTACAATAGGACAGGTGAGTGAAGGCTGTGTGGCAGGGGCCCAGACGGCAGGGAACAGCCTGGTGCAGAGAGTAACCACCATGGCAGGAGGCGTGCTCCCTGCCTGGGAGAGCTTACAGAGAAAGGGCAGGCATCACAGCATAAAAACAAAGCTAACTAGAAGATCGGAGTTTTAAAAGGAAACACAAACGCTCGACTCCTCAGGGGAGGGGGTCTCCAGATTGAACAATCAGTATGTGCAGGGTGTGGGACAATCAGGGGTCAGAAAAGAGACTCCGAAGGAGGTGAGGTGACACAAGGGGCTGGCCGACGAAGAGGACACTTGTGGTGGGAGCAGCAGCCTTTCTGGCCCTCCCCTGCCCCCCACCTGTACCTACCATGAGCAGGTCCTTGCCCTCTGGCTCCAGGCCGGGCACAATCTCCTCCAACCCCTTCCTGGTCCACTTGGGGAAACTGCCCTTATAGTCGGGCAGCTGGGTGACTCCTGGCCACATGGCTTCACTGGGCGTCCCCAGGGTCCGAAAGATCCGAAAGAGCTGGTCAATCTCAGAGTCACCAGGAAACAGGGCTCTACGGGTCACCTGCAATGAGGGAGATGGGGTGTGGGGTCCACTCCCTTGTCATACAGAATCCAACACCAGATAAGATATCCTTCCCGGGGCTGTGCTGAGAATCCTGACCTTTTCTGGAATGAGCTCCGCTTCCTTAGTCCCGCAACCAGGCCCAAACACCCCTTAATCCACCTCTAATGGGTGCATCAGTGTCGCACTGTCCCCCCCCCCTCCCCCAGCAGGACCCTGCCTGTAGCCCCCCCTGTGGCCATGTCTGTCCCTCTTTACCATCTCGGCAAAGATGCAGCCAATGCTCCAGACATCCACAGCCGTGGAATAGAACTTGCTGCCCAAGAGGATCTCAGGGGCGCGATACCAAAGTGTCACCACCTGTGGGAGCAAGAAAACAGCATCATGCAGGGTGGCTGAGTGTGCAGGTGACATCCCTTCAGCCGTCCTCTCCCCCGGGGCCTGCGGAACCTCGTGGGTGTAGGTGCGTAGGGGCACCCCGAAGGCTCGAGCCAGTCCGAAGTCAGCCAGCTTGATGGCACCCAACTCATTGATGAGCAGATTCTGGGGCTTCAGGTCTCGGTGGATGACCCGATGAGAGTGGCAGAAACTCACCCCCTGCAGCAGCTGGAAGAGGTAGCTCTGCAACAGGGAGCAAGGAAGGGGCCGGATGAGCGGAAGTGGGGCTGGTGGAGGGGGGCGTTCGCTGGCCTTCCCCATCCTTCCCTCGCTACCTTGACCAAGTGCAGGGGGAGCTCGGAGGCCGGCGTGGAGTCCATGTACTTCTTTAGGTCCTGGCTGAGGAACTCAAACACCAGGTAAAGCTTCTTCTCGCTGTGCACCACATCCAGCAGCCTGGCCGGGGTCCACCAGTCACAACACGGCTCCCGGCTGGACGGAGACGGGCCCAGCCTCCCCGCCTCCTTCCCCACCTCACCTGACGATGTTGGGGTGCTTCAGCTCTTTGAGCAGGGAGATCTCCCTGATGGCAGTGCTTGGGACTCCCTCAGTTTCCCTACGGGAAAGGAGGGCACGGCAGTGGAGGCAGGGAGCCAAGAAGGGTGCCTCTGCCCCGGGGGGGGGGGTCACCTGTGTGTTCCGTATTCCAGAAGGATGGCCCGGCCCCCAGCGACGGGGGGCGCTGCGGTCCTCATGAGGCACACACTGGCACCACCAGGGGCCCCGGGCAAAGCGTGGAGGGAACGAGGAGGGCTGCACCTCTGCGCCCCACCCCCCGCTGTAACTGGGCACACTCAGAAGTGCACCCTGAGGTGTGGGATGGACGGGGGTCACCCCTGGGGCTGGTGTGTCCCGGGGCCCTCCGGGCACTCACAAATCCAGCCTGATCTTCTTGAGGGCCACGAGCTGCCCCGTCTCCTTGTTCTTGGCCTTATACACCACCCCATAGGTGCCCTCTCCGATCTTCTCTACCTTCTGGAACACATCCATAGCCGCAGAGCTGCCCAGGAAACAGAGGGCGCCTGGGGCATTCACTGGCACACCCAGCGCCCCCGCTGCCCCTCCAGCCCCCCCGGAACACCTAGGCCAGCCCCTGCCTGGGCCCAGGTCCGCCTCTGCCCCACTCAGCCCCAGAGAACACATCCCCAGCGCAGGCCTCCCCCAGCCCAGCCAGGAAGGTGCCCAGCTACGGAGCGCAGGAGGGCCCAAACTTCTCAGCGGAACTCCCGCCTCTGCCCTGCCAGCCCCAGGTTCTGGGGGCGAAGGCTACCCAGAAGGGTGGCCTGAGGGGCCGGGGTAGAGGTCAGGGCAGCTCAGGGCAGAGGTCAGGGGTCCGGAAGGGTTTCTGAAGCCACAGTCGTGCTCTAGGCCGCAAGGCCAGGGTGAGGGGCTGGGCCTCAACTGTCTGGGGAAGCTCAGCCTCCTGTGAGGGCAGAACCTCGGTGGGGACAGCCCCCCTGCATCCTGGGACCCCCACCCGAGCCCTGGGGACCCCCAGCACCACCCCCCTGGTAACCGCAGCCCAGAATTCACCAGAAACCCTGTGCTCCTGGAGCTTCACTGCTAACAGGCTGCCGGCTCCCCGGCTCCCCCTCCTGGTCCCCGCCGGCGCTGCACCACGTGCACACAACAGAAGGTCTCCCCCCACTGGGGTTTTTATTCATGAGGACTTTCCAGAACCCTCCATATTCCCACTCGAGGCTCAGGCCCCAGCACCCCACAGTGCAGCCTCCCACAGGGTGTCTGGAACAATCCAAATTAGCAACCCCACCCCACCCCCACCCCTTCTCTCCAGCTCCAGACAAAGGCTGTCACTCCTGGGGAAGGTCCTGCGTCTTCCCCGCAGTGGCTCTGGCATCTCCAGGGGGCTTGGCTTCAGGGAAGGTTTGGGGGGGACAGCTGTCAGGCACTGTCGCTTGCTTCTGGCTGCTGTCCCTCTCCTGCTGGTACCTCCTCTGCTCCCGGACGGCTTGTTCTAACAAGGGCAGATTCATTCCTTCCACACAAGTCAGCACCCGGGCCTTCACCACGGAGCCTCCGTCTGAAAGACACAAGCACAAGGCACTGGCAGTGGCTGACACATGGGTCACCTTACGGATGCATGCCAGCTGTTTCCCCTGGCCTTGCTCTCAGGACTGAATTTTAACAGGATGAGTTGGAGGGATGGCGCGTGGGGTCCCCGTGATTTTCCTTCTAGGGCTTCAGAACTGTGGCCCTGCCACACCACAATTAGCACATGTCTGGAACTGAGGGGATAGCCTGAAAATCCCACTTCTGCATGGCGCAAGGGCCAGATCGAGGTGCCCTCTACTTCCCCCCTTTGTTGTCTTTTTTTTTTTTTTTTTAAGTAGGCTCCACTTGTCGCCTTCTATTTTTTTTTTTTTAATTTTTTTTCAACGTTTATTTATTTTTGGGACAGAGAGAGACAGAGCATGAACAGGGGAGGGGCAGAGAGAGGGAGACATAGAATCGGAAACAGGCTCCAGGCTCTGAGCCATCAGCCCAGAGCCCGACGCGGGGCTCGAACTCCCGGACCGCGAGATCGTGACCTGGCTGAAGCCGGACGCTTAACCGACTGCGCCACCCAGGCGCCCCGTCCACTTGTCGCCTTCTTAGTGCAGTGGGCAGCGCGTCAGTCTCATAAAGTAGGCTCCACACCCCGCGTGGAGCCCAACGTGGGGCTCGAACTCAGGACCCTGAGATCAAGCGCTGAGCTGAGATCAAGATTCAGATGCTTCACCGACTAAGCCACCCAGGTGCCCCTCCTTTGTCGTCTTAATTCCTGCCACCTGCTCTGTAGGTCCCAAGTGCCTGGAGTTGAAGAGGGTCTCAATCACCATCCTCCTAGTCTAGACCGCTTTCTTTCTTTCTTTTTTTTTCTTTTACTTTCTTTTTTTTTTTTTTTTTTCTTTAAGTAGGCTCTACTCTCAATATGGGGCTTGAACTCACAACTCCGAGATAAAGAATTGCACACTCTACTGACTGAGCCAGCCAGGTACCCCGAGACGATTTAAAAAAAACAATTTTTTTTAATGTTTATTTTTGAGGCAGAGAGAGAGAGAGAGAGAGAGACAGTGCTAGCAGGGGAGGAGCAGAGAGAGAGGGAGACACAGAATCCAAAACAAGCTCCAGGCTCTGAGCTGTCAGCACAGAGTCCGACACTAGGCTCGAACCCACGAACCGCGAGATCATGACCTGAGCCAAAGTGGGATGCTTAACCGGCTGAGCCACCCAGGCACCCCCTGGACCACTTTCTTGATTTAACATAGCCTGGGGGCACAGTTCAGAATGTTGGCCCGTCTAGATTCCAGCCTTCAGCACCGGCAGATAAACTTGTTTGGAACAGGAGGCTGCCTGTGTGTCCTCAGCTTCCACTGGTCCCAGTTCTGGGCTGCAGACAGGGCACAGCCTGGAGAGCAGTGGCCGTGTGGCACTGTCTGGATCTCTGCATCGCTGTAGATGGTTGACTCTCATCGCTTGGGCCACTTCAGGAATAGCTGGGTGATGGATACTGATGAATCAAACAGGATACCCGGCAAACGTCACTCGCCACCGAAAGGCTAGACCTTTTCTTGTGACACGTGTAGCCCCACACAGGTGTCACAGAGCAGCTGCTCATGTTCAGGGTGACACGGGACAAACAAGAACAAAATCACAGCTCTCGTTTGCAATTAAAACCACCTGTACGAAGATTTTCTTAGTTAATTGACTTGATTTCGCAGGACTTTCCTTACATGATGCCTATCAGCCCTTCCCTCCCGCCAGCCTGGGGAAACGCTTCCTTCTCTATTTACACTGAGGAACACGTTTCTCCCTGTGAATGAAAAATGTTATTAAACATGGAGGTGACCTTTAGAAAGACGGTTACCACAAGGGACAAACTGGGTCAGTCCATCTGTGTCAGTCCGTCTGCAGAAGGTCTCTGTAACTGGGATTGAAAGCGTTTGAAGAAATGCTGTAGGGAGGGGAGAACGGCGTTTACACACAAGACGGCCAAGGAGAGAGTCATTTAGGGGAAGTTCTTGGAAGTTTAACGAACCCAGAGCAACAGAGCCTGGATGAAGACAACGTTGGAATGCAGTGGGTAGAGGCGTGGGTAGGAGAGAAGGAAGGGGTGATATGAAGAACAGACCTTCTTTCTTTTAAGTGTATTTATTTGGGGAGAGAGAGAAAGAGAGAGAGAGAGAGTGAGCCTGAGCAGGGGAGGGGCAGAGAGAGAATGCCAAGCAGGCTCTGCGCTGTGGGGCTCGAACCCGTGCACCATGAGATCATGACCTGAGCTGAAATCAAGAGTCGGGTGCTTAACTGACGGAGCCACCCAGGCGCCCCCAAAACAGACCTGCTTTTAGGAAGTTTGCCCAGAGAAGGAGGGACACAGAAGAGGACACTATTATTAAAAATTTTTTTTTAATTTTACGTTTATTTAGTTTTGATAGAGACAGAGCACAAGTAGGGGAGGGGCAGAGGGAGAAGGAGACACAGAACCGGAAGCAGGCTCCAGGCGCCGAGCTGTCTGCACAGAGCCCGACCCCACAAACCGCTAGATCACGACCTGAGCCAAAGTCACGCTTAACCGACTGAGCCACCCAGGCGCCCCAGGACACTATTATTTTAATATACAAGAAGCTTGAGGGATTTATGTGTTGAGAAGGAAGAAACAGCGGGAACAGGTTAAGGACTCAGTTGGGAGAGCAAAGTCCCCACGGAAGGGCAGGCTGTGCGTCAGCACAGGGGCTGAGCCGCACGGAGGTCGGACCCTTCTCTCTCCCAGACGAGACGCAAGGAGCGTCTGGTGGGTGTGGACGCAGGTCATTTAAGATTTCACCCGGGACATAGGAGGCAAGGTCATCTGCCGAAAGCATGGAGGTGATGAAGCATACGTGTGACAGGTGAGTGGCTGAAAAGATGTTGTGGACCACGGGAGGGTGGGTTGACTGGGACACGCAGAAGGCCCGGTGCGGCAGGACACCTTGAAACCATCATGCTGGGAATCCACAGAGCAGGTGAACCTTCTCCATCAACAGGTGGGACCCAAGAGGGCGAAGGTCGGGGGTTGATGGGGCCACTGTGATGGAAACGAGGGCGTGAAAGTTCTGCCAGCAAAGGGGCTGCCCTCAGAGTGAGGTGGGGCTGGAGGAGGGGAAAGCGAAGGGCAGAGAAGGTGGGAGAAAAAGGAAGGAGTGTCTCAGGTCCACAGGTCCTGCGGGGCGCTGCAGAGGAGAGAGCAGCAGACAGGTAGGTACAAGGTCACAAGTTCCAGGTGGCAGAGATGTGGCCATGGGACGCAGAGGTGGGGCAAGAGGCGCCTGCAGGCAGAACCGGTTGGCCACAGAGAAGGATAAGGATTCACAACGGCAGACCTGAGGAGCCAGCTGGCTGCTGGCACCTCTCCGGGTCTGGTGGAGGCAGTGACCTGGGAAGCTGACCAGGTGCCACTTGGGGACGGGAGGGGAGCTGTTGTCCTGGGGAAGAGCCAGGTTTCAGGCAAGTCCCATCGAAGGTGAGAGCATAAAAAGGAGTCTTTCAGGGAGGAGGGAAGATTCTAGAGAACACAACAGGAAGGCTTGTAAGGGAACAACAGTCAGCTGGAAGAAAACCAGGCAGGTGGGGTTTATGGGATTTATGGCGAGGGCCCTAGGGCAGCCCTCTCGCTGTAGGCAAGGTCACCTGCAGCCTAGGAAGTCTAGGGACTCTGGAGCAGCACTGGGGGAAAGCCTACATCCCCAAACCTCAATCCCTGGGCAGGAAGTCCTTGAGCCCTTAGATGGTGCCCAAAGAACGTGTCACAGCCAGCAGGTTTCTGACATAGCTTCACCTTTTTGTTCTTCTTGGCTAGCTGTGTGCAGAAATTTCAGAAAGTGACCTTAAGTGGCCTCTTTTCTGTCATCAACTGCTAAGCTTGCCACAGGGCATTGTCTTGTGTCTAGATGACCTTTGTGCCCCAAAGGACTTGGAATCTGGCTGGGACAGGACATACGGAGGAGGTCTGAAAGCAGCCACACAGGAGCGTCTTGGTCTATATGGATCAGCGGCCACCTCCACGTTCAGCCCACACTCTGCCCCTCCCCCCCCCATCGTTGTCTTTCCTCCCGTGTCAGTTGCCAATGACGAGCATGTGTTATTCAGAAATTAGAAATTTGGGGGAAACTTAAAAAAATTTTTTTTAATGTTTATTAATTTTTGAGAGACCAAGTGTGAGTGGGGGAGGGGCAGAGAGAGAGGGAGACACAGAATCCGAAGCAGGTTCCAGGCTCTGAGCCACCAGCCCAGAGCCCGACGTGGGGCTCGAACTCACGAACCATGAGATCATGACCTGAGCCGAAGTTGGACGTTTAACCGACTGAGCCACTGAAACATTTTTTTAAGAAAGAAAAAAATAGACTGTGATGAAAGTAAGGAGAAGCAGTAACGTAGCCAGAGCCTAGGGAGACTGCTGCTTGATCTGAGGCTTGATTATTCAGGTCCAGTTTTGGGGAGCGGGGGCGCAAAGACACTTGAGAGTGGTGCTGTCTGTGCTTTCAAAGTGAGTCACGGTGCAGGTGCAACACCGATCCATTTCCGAGGTGCCTGGCTTATCGGGCGGGTGTGGGTGCTGCTGGCTGACTCCGGCTTTGCAATGTTCCAGTCATACTTTCATGGATCAATGGGAGCAGCCAGTGATAAGATCGATCTTGGCCTAGATTCATTATTTCATCAGGGCTTTCAAAGAGGTGCCTCTCGAAGTTTCTTGCATTTATTGACTGTGATTCCTATCTAAAGAACCTTTGCTTCTCTTCGACCCTGTGCTGTCCCTGAACTACCCTCAGGAAAAGGCAGGACGGAGAAGGTTTAACGCAACCAGGAGGAAGCAATTGGCCAATTCCAGACCCGAGTTCTCTAATAAATGGCATTTAAAAAAGGATGGGGCACCTAGGTGGCTCAGTCAGTTGAGCGTCTGACTTCGGCTCAGGTCATGAGCCGCGAGGCAGTTCATGAGTTCGAGCCCCGTGTCGGGCTCTGTGCTGACAGCGCAGAGCCTGGAGCCTGCTTCGGATTCTGTGTCTCCCTCTCTCACTACCCCTCTCCCACTCTCTCTCTCTCTTTCAAAAATTAAAAAAAAATAAAGAAAAAAAAAAGAAACCAGAAATATTACAAGAGACTTGGAGTATGTAACCCAAGTCTTTATGCCATATATAGACTTGGGATCTTGATATGAACTAACCAATTTTTTAAACAGCCATGAAGGGGCACCTGGGTGGCTTAGTCGGTTAAAGCATCTGACTTTGGCTCAGATCAAGATGTCATGGTTCATGAGTTCAAGCCATGCACGGGGCTCTTCACTCTCAGTGGGGAGCTGGCTTCATATCCTCCGTCTCTGTCTCTGTCTCTGTCTCTCTCTCAAAAAAAAAAAAAAAAGTCATGGCGAGGAGGAGAGTGAACATGGACAAATGTATTCTATTATATCAAGAACAGTCAATTTGTTTGAGTATGACTGTGGTAATGTTAGAGACCTGCGAGGTGTTTCTGGGTAAACAAAATGATAGCAGATTTGCTCTAAAAGACACCAATAAAACAAATAAATAAATGCAGGCAGTGGAGACTCAGGAACCGTAGACTATGGATCCCGGCTGAGTCTGGGTGATGGGTACAGACAGGGAGGTCCATTCTACCATTCCACTCGCGCACATTTGATTTGAAAATATTAAATTAAAAAAATTACATGGGTTGAACTTACACAAGTTTCTTTCCATTTTTCTTCCCACAAAGTAATTCTGAACATCCAGGCCAGGTCCTGCTCTCATCCTGGCCTGCCGTCCTAAGTTTCAACCCCTCTCTGTATTGGCAAGCAGGCCTTAGCACCCCAGACTCTGTGCAGTGGGCTCCCGAGAGCTCCCAGGATTCTCTGCAGGGCTGGGGGTACAGGAGAAAGCCTCAGGTGACTGGGGCTGCAGTCAAAGTAGAAATCATTTGTGCAAAAGCCCGTTGTACCCATTCGCAGCCCCCTCCTGATGCCTCTCTCAAATCAACAGGAGGGCAGGAACTCTGTGAGCTCAAAGGCTTGAGCCTGAATAAAGATTAACTATTATGAAATCAAAGATAATTAAACATGAACATTAACATTTCTTCTAGTACATTTCATCCAGGGTTAAAAACCACCCTGACTTTTAGAAAGGACGTTGGTGATGTAAAGCAAGAAACATATGTTTGTATCCTCTGATACAGCAATTCTATGTTCAGGAAACTAGCCTGAGGCAATAATCAGAAAATGGACAGAGATTAGTGCCGAAGGGTATTAACTGTGGCATTTTTAATATATCTCAATATAGACAATTTTTTTTTTTTTAACATTTTTACCCTCTGGCTATAAAAGCATACATTTTCGGGGCACCTGGGTGGCTCAGTCAGTTAAGTCTCTGACTCTTTTATTTTTTTTTTTTTAATTTTTTTTCAACGTTTATTTATTTTTGGGACAGAGAGAGACAGAGCATGAACGGGGGAGGGGCAGAGAGAGAGGGAGACACAGAATCGGAAACAGGCTCCAGGCTCTGAGCCATCAGCCCAGAGCCCGACGCGGGGCTCGAACTCCCGGACCGCGAGATCGTGACCTGGCTGAAGTCGGACGCTTAACCGACTGCGCCACCCAGGCGCCCCCTCTGACTCTTTTATTTAAAAAATTTTTTGAAATGTTTATTTTTGAGGGAGAGAGACACAGTGTGAGTGGGTTAGGGGCAGAGAGAGGGACACAACCTCTGAAGCAGGCTCCAGGCTCTGAACTATCAGCACAGAGCCCGATGGGGGGGCTCGAGCTCATGAACAGTGAGGTCATGACCTGAGCTAAAGTTGGATGCTTAACCGACTAAGCCACCCAGGTGCCCCCGACTCTTGATTTCAGCTCAGGTCATGATCTCGAAGTTCACAGGTTTGAGCCCTGCATCAGGCTCTGTGCTGACATCACAGAGCCTGCTTGGGATTCTCTCTCTTTCTCTGCCTTTCTCATGCTCTCTCTCTCTCTCTCTCTCTCTCTCTCTCTCAAAATAATCAATTAAAAACATTTTTAAGGAAAGATTTAAAAAAAGCAATATGTTTTCACTGTAAAATGCTAATAAAAATACAAAGAATCCCACAATCCCACCACCAGAAGTAACTTCTATTAACATTTCGGTGAATAATCTTTCATATACATAGATGTATGCAAAAAAAAATGTATATTAGGGGTGCCTGGCTGGCCTAGTTGGGATAGTAGGTGACTCTTGATCTCAGGGTTGTAAGTTCGAGCCTTACGTTGGATATAGAAGATTACTTAAAAATAAAATCTTAAAAAATGTGATCTTACAATACATACTGTTTTGTAAACTGCTTTTTCTTTTTTTTGATTTATTTAAAATTTTTTTTAATGTTTATTTATTTTTGAGACAGAGAGAGACAGAGCATGACTGGAGGAGGGTCAGAGAGGGAGACACAGAATCCGAAGCAGGCTCCAGGCTCTGAGCTGTCAGCACAGAGCCCGACACAGGACTTGAACTCACGGACCATGAGATCATGACCTGAGCCGAAGTCGGACACTCAGCCAACTGAGCCACCCAGGCACCCCTGTAAACTGCTTTTTTTTAGTAAGATATTATGAACATATCTTCATGTCAACTGATGAAGATTTATAACACCATTAAAAAAATTTTTTTTTAATGTTTATTCATTTTTGAGAGAGAGAGACAGAGCATGAGTAGGGGAGGGGCAGAGAGAGGGAGACTTGGAATCTGAAGCAGGCTCCAGGCTCTGAGCTGTCAGCACAGAACCTAATGTGGGGCTCAAACTCACAAACTGTGAGATCATGATCTGAGCTGAGGTCAGACGCTTAACCGACTGAGCCACCCAAGTGCCCCTACAACACCATTTTTAATGGCTGCATAACATCCCACTGACTGAATATACTAGAATTTCTTTAACCAGTCAACGTACAGTATTTTTGTAAGAGCAAAAAATGGAAACAATATACACGTGCAATGGTTGTGTGAATCAAGGTACATATAAAATATTATATGGCTATAAAACATTATGTCTACACAAACTTTTTTTTTTTTTTAACATTTATTTACTTTTGAGACAGAGAGAGACAGAGCATGAACGGGGGAGGGTCAGAGAGAGAGAGGGAGACACAGAATCTGAAGCAGGCTCCAGGCTTTGAGCTGTCAGCACAGAGCCTGATGCAGAGCTCAAACCCATGGACCATGAGATCATGACCTGAGCTGAAGTTGGATGCTTAACCGACTGAGCCACCCAGGCGCCCCAGCTTGACTTACTTTTTTTTTTTTTAATTTTTTTTTTTTTAACGTTTTATTTATTTTTGAGACAGAGAGAGACAGAGCATGAACGGGGGAGGGTCAGAGAGAGAGGGAGACACAGAATCGGAAGCAGCCTCCAGGTTCTGAGCCATCAGCCCAGAGCCCGACGCGGGGCTCGAACTCACGAACCGTGAGATCATGACCTGAGCCGAAGTCAGACGCTTAACCGACTGAGCCACCCAGGCGCCACTACACATACTTTTAAAACCTGGGGAAATGTTTACAATGTACATGAAGCCAAAATAACCAGATACGACATTACATAGTATGATATCAGCTGTGTGAAGGAAGATGACACAGGAATGGCCAGAGAGCGAAGCAAAGAATTCATTCAAGTACCTAGGTTTTAAACAACAACCTTCGGCACGCCTGAGTGGCTCTGTCGGTTGAGCGTCCAACTTCAGCTCAGGTCATGATCTCGCGGTCTGTGAGTCTGAGCCCCACATCAGGCTCTGTGCTGTCAGCACAGAGCCCGCTTCAGATGCTCTGTCCCCCTCTCTCTGCCCCTCCCCTGCTCTTGTGCACACACACGCACGCTCTCTCGCGCTCTCTCTCCCTTTCAAAAATAAACATTAAAAAAAAAAAAAAAAAGAGCAACCTTCGACACTTGATGCCTGGGAGAGATTCTCCCAGGTTGTTGATACTCCTTCCCTTCTATTTCTCTCACCCTGACTTCTTGGCCTGTTATTCTAGCCCCATCCTCTCTGAGCCTTGGTTTTCTCACCTATGAAACGGCAACAGTTAAGACTCAGTTGAAGACCGGTGGGCAGATTTGCAAAGATTTAAGCGAACTATCTAGTACCAAGCCTAGCACATGGTAAGCCTTCAGAAATTAATGGGTTCTCTCCTCTCTCACTTCCGGAGAGCAGGTCCACTGAGCTGGATCACATCCGTTTCCCACGAGTCCTTGAACTTGTGGGCTGGTTTAGAAGGAAAGTTAACCCCGGTGAGGGACTCTTGTTGGGTCAGAAGCCAGGCCCCATCCTGACTGAAGACTGTCCCACTCGGGACCCACAGTGAAAAGAGTGTGTGAGGCCACGACTCACCCTGGTGCTCGAGCTCCCCAAGGACAAGATACATGGAGTCCACTTGGGCTTGGAACGGCTCCACCAACTTGGTACACACCAGGACCTGGTGCTCGTCAGATCCATGCTGAGCCCTCAGGGTGACTCGGGACTGAGTCATGTCATAGAGGCACAACCTGCAGGTCAGGAAAAGCGTGATCATTTGTATCCACACACAGAACAAACACTAAAAGCTCAAGAGGTTCCGGGAGCCCCATAAATCCAGGGGACTCTGGGCAGAGATATAAAAATGGCAGCAACAAGTCGGAAAATTGTTTTCAGTCTACATTGTTAAGATACAAATTCTATGCATTAAAAGGCATTTGTTTAAAGAGTGTTGACAAAAGTATACACTTATATAACCACCACCCCAATTAAGATTCGCCACATTTCAGGGTGCTTTGGCACATTTCTATCACCCCCAAAAGTTCCCTTGTGCCACTCTGAAATCAATCTCCCCATCTCCCATCCCAGGCAACCCACTGATCTGCTTTTGGTCTCTACAGATGAATTTTTCTACTCAAGCACCTCATATAAATAGAATCAGAACAATATGTATTCTTTTGTGTCTAGCTTCTTTCAGTCAGCATAATGGTTTTGAGATTCATTTATGCCGTTGGGTAAATCAGTGGTTTATTCCTTTTATTGCTCAGTAGGACACCATTGAAATTATTAAAAATAATTTGTTTGGGGTGCCTGGGTGGCTCAGTCAATTGAGCGTCGAACTCTTGATTTCAGCTCAGGTCATGATCCCTGGGTCATGGGATAAAGTGTGGAGCCTGCTTAAGATTCTCTCTCTCTCTCTCTCTCTCTCTCTCTCTCTGCCCTTCTCCCACTTGCACGCATATGCGTTCTCTCTCTCCCTCTCTTAAAAAAAATAAAAGTGTAGGGGCACCTGGGCGGCTCAGTTGGTTAAGTGTCTGACTTCGGCTCAGGTCATGATCTGGCAAGCCTCATGGGTTCAAGCCACGCATCGGGCTCTGTGCTGACAGCTCAGAGCCTGGATCCTGCTTCAGATTCTGTGTCTCCCTCTCTCTGCCCCTCCCCTACTCGTGCTCTGTGTCTCTCTCTCAAAAATAAATAATCATAAAAAAAAAAAAAAACTGCCAAATTGTTTTTCAAAATGGTTGTGCCATTTTGCACTCCACCCGTAACATCTGAGGATTCTAGTCACTCCGAATCCTTGCCAGTACTTGGTATGGTCAGTCTTTTTAATTTTAGCCATTCTACTGGGCATGAAAATACCATATCATTGTGGTTTTAATTTGCATCTCCCTGGTGACTAATGATGTTGAGCATCTTTTCATGTGCTTATTGTCCATTTGAGTGTATATACATATATATTTTTTAATCATCATATGCAAAATTGTTCACTTATTTGTAGGACTGCTAATTGTTATGTATATCTGCTTTTAGGAAGTGCTTCTTCAAGCCTTTTGCCCTCCTCTGTTTGAACACTCTATAACATATGGTCTTCCCCTCCAGTTTTACTTAGGTATAACTGACATACAATAAACAATACATATTTAAGGGACAAAATTTGACATTTGACATCGTACACACTTGAGAATGAAGACAGGAACATATCATTTTCATCACCCTGAAAAGTTCTCTTGCCTTTTTGTAATCCTCCTACATGCCACACCCAGGGAACTCCTGCAGGCAACCGGTCTCCTTTTTTCCACTATAGATTACTTTGCATTTTCTAGACTTTTATATAAAAGGAGTCATACAACATGTAACTTGGGGGGGGGGGGGCTGGTTTCCTTACTTCAGCATATTTATTTTGAGATTCATCCGTATCAGTGCATGTTACAATGGTTCACTCCATTTTACTTCTGAGTAGTATTCCATTGTGTGGATACACCACGATTTATTTGTTCACTCAAATGGACATCCGGGATGCTTCTAGTTTCTGGCTATTACAAAGAAAGCTGCTATAAACTGTGCACAAGGGGCGTGTGGGTGGCTCAGTAGGTTAAGCGTCTGACTTCGGCTCAGGTCATGATCTTGTGGTCCGTGAGTTTGAGCCCCACGTCGGGCTCTGTGCTGACAGCTCGGAGCCTGGAGCCTGCTTGAGATTCTGCGTCTCCCTCTCTGCCCCTCCCCTGTTCGTGCTCTGTCTCTCTGTCTCTCTCAAAAATAAATAAAACATTTTAAAAAATTAAAATATTGTGCACAAATCTTGGTGCAGATATGTTTTCATTTCTCTTGAGTACATGCCTAGGAGTAGAATAGCTGGATCATGATAGATATATGTTCATATACACACACACACACACACACATATGTGTATATATATATATGTGTGTATACATATATATATATATATACACACATATATATATATAAATACACACATATATATACATATTTTAATTTAAGTAATCTCTTATACCCAATGTGGGGCTCGAACTCATAACCCTGAGATCATAAGAGTTTCATGCTCTATGGACTCAGCCAGTCAGGCACTGCATGAGATACATGTTTACCTTTTAAATCTTTTTTCTTTCTTTCTCTTTCTTTCTTTTATTTTAAAGAGAGAGAGAGAGAGAGAGAGAGAGAGAGAGAGAGAGAATCTCAAGCAGGCTTCACACTCAGTGTGGAGCCCTAAGCGGGGCTCGATCCCATGACCCCAGGATCATGACCTGAGCTGAAATCAAAGAGTCAGACGCTCAACCAACTGAGCCACTTAGGAGCCCCTGTGTAGCTTTTAAAGAAACTGCTGAACTGTTTTCCAAAACAGTTGTACCATTTTACATTCCTACCAGGAGTGTGTACAGGAGTTCCAGCATTTGGTTTTGTTAGTCTTTAAAAAATTTTTTTAATAGTTTATTTATTTTTGAGAGAGCGCAAGAGAGCAGGGGAGGGGCAGAGAGAAGCCGGGGAGAGAGAGGGAATCCCAAGCAGGCTCCACACTGTCGTTGAACAGCCCAATGTGGGTCTTGAACTCATGAACCATGAGATCGTGACCTGAGCCGAAATCAAGAGTTGGACCCTTAACCAACTGAGTCACCAGGCACCCCCATGTTATTAGTCTTTTTAAATGTAGCCACTCTAGTGAGTGTATAGGAGCATCTCATTGGCTTTTTCTTAAATATATTTTTAAGTTTATTCACTTGTTTTGTGTGTGTGTGTGTGTGTGTGTGAGAGAGAGAGAGAGAGAGAGAGAGAGAGAGAGAGAGAATGCCAAGCAGGCTCCACACTGTTGGTGTCAAGCCCAAGCAGGGCTCAAACTCATGAGCCTTGAGATTATGACCTGACCTGAAATCAAGAGTCAGATACTTGGGGCACCTAGATGGCTCAGTCAGTTAAGTGTCCAACTCTTGATTTCAGCTCAGGCTGTGATCTCATGGTCCGCGAGTTTAAGCCCTGCATCAGGCTCTGCACTGACAGTGTGGGGCCTTCCCGGGATTCTCTCTCTCCCTCTCTCTCTGCCCCTCCCCTGCTTGCTCTCTCTCTCTAAATAGAAAGAAAGGAAAGAAAGAAAGGAAAGAAAGAAAGGAGAAAGGAAAGGAAGAAAGGAAGCAAGCAAGAAAGAAAGACATCCCTTTAAAAATAAAGTCAGATGCTTAACTGATTGAGCCACCCAGGCGCCCTTCATCGTGGGCTTTAATTTGCATTTCCCTAATGACTAATGATGCTATACACATGTTGTGCGAACACACACCCATTCTCATATTCATGTACATACATACACGTGAAAACGTGTCAAGTAATCACCAAAAGGTTAGCAGTGGCTGTCCAGACAGTAAGTGGCATTACATGTGTTTTTGCTTGCTTTCTTTATACTTTTAGGGATTGTCTACATTTTGTACAATGAAAATATGCTAGTTTTTTAGCATTTAGGGGCGCCTGGGTGGCTCAGTCAGTTGAGTGTCCGACTTCGGCTCAGGTCATGATCTCACGGCTCGGGGGTTCGAGCCCCGCGTCGGGCTCTGTGCTGACAGCTCAGAGCCTGGAGCCTGCTTCGGATTCTATCTCCCTTTCTCTCTGCCCCTTCCCTGCTTGCTCTCTCTCTCTCCCTCTCTCAAAAGAAATAAACAAACAAACATTAAAAAATTAAAAAATAAAATAACTAAACAAGGGGCGCCTGGTTGGCTCAGTCAGGGAAGCATACAACTCTTGATGTTGAAGTCGTGAGTCTGAGCCCCATGTGAGGTGTAGAGACTACTTAAATAAGTAAAACTTCTAAAAACATCAAAAAAATTACTAGACAAAATTATAATAAAACTATTTTAATTAGTTTTTTTCTGTCGGGGGTGGGGGTGACGAATTGAAACATTCCCCCGACTATGTGAAAAAACCATTCTGACCTTCCGAATGTTCTCAGTGTGCCCCCGTCGGGAACTTGGCCAGCACTGACTTCCCAGGGGAAGTAATAGATCCCAGGTTTGGGCAGCATCTCAAAGAGCAGAGGTGGATTTTTGAAGATTCCTGACAAACCAAGCAGAACACAAGACTGAGATTAGCAGGTTCCCGAGACCAGCCACACAGGAAAGGCTAGTTCCAGTGGGTAGCAGTTTAATAAAAAACAAAATATTTCGGGGTGCCCAGGTGGCTCAGTCGGTTGTTTCTGACTTCAGCTCAGGTCATGATTACACAGTTTGTGGGTCTGAGCCCCACCTTGGGCTCTGCTACACCTTGGAGCCTGGAGCCTGCCTCAGATTCGGTGCCTCCCTCTGTCTCTGCCCCTCCCTCGCCCACACTCTGTCTCTGTCTCTGTGTCTCTCTGTCTCTCTCTCTCAAAAATAAATAAGAACACTTTAGGGCGCCTGGGTGTGTGACTTCGGCTCAGGTCATGATCTCGTGGTCCCACGTCAGGCTCTGTGCTGACAGCTCGGAGCCTGGAGATTGCTTCAGATTCTGTGTGTCTCTCTCTCTCTCTGCTCCTCCCCTACTCCCACTCTGTCTCTCTCTCAAAAATAAACATTAAAAAAAATTTTTTTTAATCAATAAACACATTTAAAAAAAATTAACACTTAAAAAAGTGAAAAATCAGATTTTTGATAGGTTATGCATTCACCAATTTTAAAAAACAAAACAACATAAAACACGATCTACGTGGAAAAGTGTTGTCCCACCCAAATCCCTATGCAACCCACTCCCTCCCCGATCCCCTGAAGAGGGGTCTGTG